AATACTAATTAATTGAAATTACCTTCATCGCTGCTTTCCGACATTATCAATAGTAAATACCTTGATGTAACTATAAATGGAGTTAGGCCACTTTCAAACCACACGGGTCAGTTATTCAATTAATTCGGAAAACCTATGTGTAAAAAATGTACCGTATTTTCTCTGAATATAAGCAATCTGAAGTGCGTCACTGATAAATAACATGAAGTTGTACATGTAACAATGGTAACTGGCAAAAAATTGAAAAACGGAGTTAGGTCACTTTCAAAATAAACGGCTCATTTATGTTATATTGTTTGTAGCTGAATTATCAATTTTTTAAAAAACGTAATGGTAATTATGTTAATGCTGGGATTAAATCCACTGTGGATTGTGTCGAAGCTGCAGAGAAGAATTTTCTTGGATTTCGTCTAATATTTCAGTCTGCAAATATAACGTTTCCATGTGTACCAGGCAGTTATTGCATAAAGAATGCTACACTGGATGCTAGTAGATTTCCGCCTTTATTTCCGAGTGGTGATTATAGAGTGGACGAGGTTTATACGGTCAATGGTATTAAAGCTATTGAAATGACTCTGTATGGATCAGTTACATATCCTCCGATATATTCGGGTGTTCATTAGTAATAAACAATAGGACATGATATAATTATATAATATGTAATACACAGAATGTATTTGAGTAAAAATTCATTTTTAAATGAAGATGTTTATGTTCAGAGATAATTCAGGAAACTTTCTAAGATCTTCTTGAAAACAATATATTATGGCTGAGAGTATATGAATAAGTTATATTCATACAAAGAATAACAAATAAAAAGGTATAAGTAGTAACTACATATGGTTTTATCCATTATCTAATTAATTTTAAGAAAAATTCATGGAAATTGTTATATAGCAAATTATATACTCGTATATATTACACAAACACCACCGAAAATAATATTCATATTTTGGTAATATAAAACTCTATAAAACATACAAATATTTGAATTAATTATAAGTGATTGTATTATAACGACACAAATATAACGCATATTATTCAACCGACTCGTTTGTTTAATGAATTACACCGAGATTTAATCACATTTCAAATATTTTATTACATTTTTCTGTAATGTGACGAAAATTAAAATAAAATCAAAACACCCAAAATAAATATAATATAAATAAATATAATATAAGATAAAAATATGCAACTATATTCAATATTTTGTGATATTATTAGAGTTTTGATTGCGTAATAACGTATTGAGATACGATACAACACATTTTGTTAAGGGTACGATATATTTTGCACATTTTCATCTGTCATTGACAGTCCTCAACCATGATATTAATCCATTTTAAGCAATACTTTGTACATTACATTACATAATCATGGATTAATATTTAAATAAAATGCATATGTCTGTTTTTGATTAAAAGGTGAATATTCAATGCAGAGAACTGCATATACAATAGGGTGTCCGTTATTTCCCAAAATGGATTTGATTTTTCAGACGCCCCCCAAACTTTTAGATTTTGACCTAAAAAAAAATATGAGACCCATTTCAACCCTTAAAATTGATATTAAACCGTGCCTAAATCATAATCCTTTTCTCATTTAAATAACATGGGATTTCCTGACGTTTTGCATTTAATTTTTTATCTCCAAAGTAAATAAACCTACAGCTTCGACAAAGACATATTCTAATGCAAAATTTTACCCTCTACAAAAATGATCTCTGTGGTTTTTTGCTTAAAAACATTCCTGTAAAAGTTATTTGCGATTAAAGTTATACACATAGTTTATAATCTCATTTACAGCAAATTCTAACTGCGCCACCTATAATCAATTGATCGAAACTAGAGTTTACGTTACAATAATCGCATATCGACAACGCGACTTAATCTTTGAATAATTTTTACAGGGTTGATTTTATCGAAAAAAGTATTCAGACCTTTTTTGTAGAGCGTAAAATTTCCGACAAAATATGTTCCAGCGGTATTTTTAGCTATATTTGTTTCGATAAAAAAACAATAACTGTAAAAAGTGCAAAAATCCCATGTTATTTAAATGGGAAAAGGATTATGATTTAGGCACGGTTTAATATCAACTTTAAGGGCTGAAATGAGTCTCATATTTTTTTTTTAGGTCAAAATCTAAAAGTTTGGGGGGCGTCTGAAAAATAAAATCCATTTTGGGAAATAACGGACACCCTAATATACAAGTATATTGTATCTTTGATTACTTAATTACTAGTAGTTTCATCACAGTGGCTTGAAAATTGTTGGAATGTTTTCGAAATGCAAGCTGAAAACCTATACATTTGTGATACTGAATTATATTTCAATCAATGACTGATATATTTACGAACAGTACAATGTAAGTTAAAATATTAAAATTGATGAAATATGGAGTTCCAAAGCAGACAAAATAATAAATACGGAAATTAAAAACACCTTTGTTATTATAGTGATTAGGGTGGTCCTTAAAATGCATTTTTTGAATTTCTTTGCTCCCAGGGGCTTAAACGCTTTCAAATTGATAAAAAAAAAATTCCTGAAAATTTGAGCTCTTAATATTAACTTTAAGATAGTCCGCACTCTCAGATAAGGTTTTTATGGGGATTACTTGGCAGAAAATGGATTTTAAGTAACAAATCGCGACATATTTATTGTAAATTTAATTCTCCATGTAAAAAATACCTCATACATATTTACTGCACCTATTGACTTGATACTATTTAGAATATATAGCAAATAATAGCAAATAGGAGTTTATTGTTCCATTTTTATCAGAATATAAGCAATATTATGGTGATACTCGAAAATCTGCAATAGTGGATAATATGAAAAAAGATTAAGGCATAGTATTCGAATAGTCAATAGGTGCTGAAAATATGTATGAGGTATTTTTTACATGGAGAATTAAATTTACAATAAATATGTCACGGTTTGTTACTTAAAATCCATTTTCTGCCAAGTAATCTCCATAAAAACCTTATCTGAGAGTGCGGACTATCTTAAAGTTAATATTAAGAGCTCAAATTTTCAGGGAATTTTTTTTTATCGATTTGAAAGCGTTTAAGCCCCTGGAAGCAAAGAAATTCAAAAAAATGCATTTTAAGGACCACCCTAATAGTGATATATAATAATTGCATTGATTAGTACGTAAAATTTTTCTGTTCCAGTGTGACATAAATAAACAAATAAACCCACATTCACATTTATATTATTAAACTATATATATAAAAAGGAATTGCTGTTCGTTAGTCTCGCTAAAACTCGAGAACGGCTGAACGGATTTATCTTATCTTGGTCTTGAATTATTCGTGAAGGTCTAGGGAAGGTTTAAAAGGTGAGAAAAATTCGAATAATTGCCGGGAAAATCCTCGAAACAGCTCTTTTCTATAGAATAAAATTTGACATTGAGATTCAATCATAGTTATAGTTAAATAGTTGAATTCGAGATGGCGCGCTGAAGTGCATTATTGACAAAACTTTATATGCATAATTTCTTTAAATTAAAATTGCTAATCTTATTGATAGAATTGACTCTTACTACGAGTATGTCTAGAACAAGAGAGTAAAAACGAATTACATTTTTATTAAACACGGCCGGAACGAAGTCGCGGGCAACAGCTAGTTAAAATATATAAACCTTATTTCGGTTTTATTGAAGACCATGATATAATTGTGAATATAAAAGCGATCCATAAATATTGAAATTTAACGCTTTCACACCATCAAAATAAAAAATAGTTTCCACACAATATTGTCCACTTGGTATCAACGGAGGAAATTTGCTAGCGTCCGGCCCTGTAGGTTTCATACAATATATGCCCTTTAAAATGAATTATATAAATAAATACATAAAAATTCAAGTATGTTATTAAAATTCAATTACGGGTTTGATTGGTATTGTAAAATTTGCCTGTTCCTGTGCTACTTTTCGAGCACCAAACGTATTATGCCTGATGGCATCAAACATGTTCAGTTTTGAATGTATTCCAGTAAAAACATAATTGTTATTAATTTTCCTCTTGAAAGTATAGTCCAACTAAAAACTCTGTATTAAAATGCTATAAATAATAATTAATATATATATATTTGCCTGCATATCATTTATATCCACTTTAACTTTTGCACATCCAAAGATAGTTATTTGCTGCCTTGAAGTTCTTCCGGATTTGAAATCAAAATAATCGTAGATATCTTTGTTAAAGTATGTGGTTTCCACTCTTTCCACAGTAATGTTGTATTTGTTTTGAGTATAATTAATTTTTTCTGATTGTATGGGTTCAATTTGTATCAAAATAACTATAATTACAGTTAATATTAAAATTTCAAAGAACTGCATTTTTGCACATGAAGTTTCAATAAATTCAAACAAATGTTACAAACTATTTTTTGTATTTGATGAACAATTGTTTGGCTAATATTAATAGTACTCGTATAATCAAAATAGCATTATAGCACACTTTTTTTCAAGTATAATAATTTATACATAATTTGATATTAGTGGGGAGCATAATGATGATATAAAAAGTGGTAAATATTGTATGTATCATTGCCTAGGAGCAATATAATTACTTTTTTTGTTCGTAAAGGACTAAAAATACACTTCAACGCCATTACGGTTTCAATTTCATCCATTTTCATTTTCTTTTTTGAATACGTTATATATTTGATTTACTTTTTACAATAAAATATATTTACGTGGATTTAAATAACTGTTTTAGGGTTTTTACATGTTTCACCTCGAGGGCATTCTCAGGAAATCAGAAATAAGTAAAATTATATCAATTTTTATTCTTTAATGCTGTCTACCTGCTTTTTAAGGCCAAAATATGTCTGTGCCAAAAAGAATAAAAAAATCAGCTTAAGTGGGTATTGAGTTTCAAGTTTTTAATATAAGTTCTAATACGACAAAATTATTCTTGTTTTATTGAAGACCATGATACAATTGTGAGTATGAAAAAGAAGCATATACATCGATAACTAACACTTTCACATCATCAGTATAAAAAATAATTTCAGCAAAATAATGCCCACTTGGTACCAACGGCGGAAATTTGCTTGCGTCCATCACTGTAGGTTTTATGCAATATACTCCCTTTAAAGTAAAATTAAAGAAATAAATTTAAAAAAAAATCAAATCAGTGATTAAAATTAAATTACTGGTTTGACTGGTATTGTAAGATTTGTCTGGTCCAATACAATTTTTCGTACACCAAACGTATTATGTTTGATGGCATCAAATATGTTCACTTTTGAATGTATTCCAGTAAAAATATAGTTGTTATTAATTTTCTTCTTCAAAGTATACTCCAACTAAAAATTCTGTCTTTTACCAACTCGTACCATTACAAACAGAAAAGAATATATATTTACAATCAAATTATCCATATCCACGTTAATCTTTGAGCATCCAAACATCGAGATTTGATATCTTGAAGTTCTACCGGATTTAAAATAGAAATAATCATAGTAGTCTTTATTAAAGTATGTCGTTTCCACTCTTTCTATACTAATGTTGTAAGTGTTTTGATTGTAGAAAAGTTTTTCTAATTGTATGGATCCTATTTGGATCATAAATATAATTGTACCGATTAATGCTAAAATACTGGAGATATACATTTTGGGAAGTAACTTTATGAAACTCAGATTATCAATTACGAACTTTATATACGGCACAAATTCTGCATATGTGATTCACTCAATATTCATTTGCATTGTAAGTAATTATTGACTTTTTCTTTTCTAAATAACTATAGAAATGACCTACACTCACAATATAATTAATATTACATCAATGCACATTTTTTTATACTTCAATTAAAATCAATTTTAGGTATGTTTTTTCCTTGCTTAATATTTTTTGTAAATCTATAAAATCTATAAAGGTGAGTATAACGGTTTTAATATGTATGTGACGTCATTTTACAAATCTTTATATTTCTCAGCTTTCCTCTCTTATAATATGTATGTGATATGTATGTGATTGAATAAGTGAACCTATGATGTAAACTACATTAAAATCGATCGTCTCGTTTAAAAGATAAAAGCTTTTTGAGAGCTGGAAATATCTACTTTTTATACTATAAAGAGGTTTATATTACATCAAATTTTAATAATAAAATAAAACAATATGCAGGTTTAGTTACATATAGATCAATATATTTTCATACCAAATTATATAAATTTTATTGCCACCAAAATAAACAAAACGCCCAAAACAGATTTTTGTGTAAAATATTTTTAAAAAATACCATGTTACTTATTGTACACCCGAATAGAAAGGCGGGTATTTAATAGCAACGTAAAGATTTGCTCTCATCGCTTTGATATCATTGGCATAATACATTTCTTCCATTCTATAATCACCTTTCGGAAGTAAAGGAGGAAACGATTCAGATTTGAACGTGACATTCCTAATACTGTAATGACCAATAGTCAGCGGGAAACTCATGTTGCTAGAAAGCATATATTCTCGAATTCGAAACCTGTTTTTCTTGAAAGCATCTACAATGTTCAAACTAGTTTTCAATCCATCAAGGTATTGCGCACCACTTTTTCTCTTCATGTTAAAATCCACCTACAATTAATATTCAATAAAACACAATTTTGTCGTTATTAAGTTAACTCATTGTTTATTCGATTATTCAAGTTTCGTTTTTCTCTCACCGATAATTTTTAATTTCCACTTTGGTAGTAAATTCTGTTTCCATAATAAGTTTTTCTCTTGTAATTTTCTTGCTTGTAGCATAGAAATTTTCAAAAAGATCCGTGTTAAACCATAGCATATCAAATGCTTGAACAGTTAAATTATATTTATGTTGGTTAAAATTAAAATCGGCCAAATCAACAGCGATTGTAGAGTTGATCATTAAGACCACCAAAGTCAGTAGTATTAACCTGCACATTGTTGCAATGAACATTGTTGAATAATTGTTTTGATATTTCATTAATATACTCGTTCGTATTCAGTACATTGTATTATCTTGTCTGGCATCTACACATATAATCATCTCTTTGTTATGTTATTAATTTAAAATAGATTACATTTGATTCAACTGTAATTTTAAAAATACTAATTTACGCATGTTCGGTATTTGTACCGCAAGTCAAACCTTATACACTGTACTTATTGTAATCCAAAATAAAGTGGAGAATATTTAATAGTTGCATATAGCTCAACAATTATAGCTTTAATTTTATTAACGTCAACCGTTCCACGTAACCTGTAAGAACCACTGGGAAACAATGGCGGAAATTTCGAAGAATCCAATGTAACATTTTTAACTGTGTAAGTTCCGGGTGCTAAAGGAAACGGGAAGTTCTCAGGCTCAAGTATATCCCTAAACCCAAAATAATTATGTTTTTGGGCATCGATTACATCAATTTTTGAATGTATGCCTGTATCAACATAATTCCCATTGATTTTCTTTTATATAAATTGTAAACTTTTTATTTATTTTGTGTTTACCATTAATGTTCTAATTTCCACCTTGCTTGTAAATGTCAACTGCAAAGCAACTTTGTTCCTTCCAATGATTACACTCTCTGCACGATATTCTTCAAACATATCAGGGTGAAACCATTTTGTTTTCAGTATTTCAATACTTATATTGTATTTGTTCTGATTGAACGTCAGCTTTGACGTTTCTGAACAAATGACAACATCAAAGAACTCAATTAAGATTATTATTTTTAATAAACTGTTCATTGTTTCCGGATATTTTTGAACTTATTTAAAATAAATGATCTTGTTTCGTTTATATACTATCCGACATTGTGATGATTATTTTGTTTATTAATATAAACTAGACAAATTCGATATTAATGCATATCGTTAAATTTAAACTACATTCATGTGTGTTGATGTACAAAATATTTACACAATATCTTGTTTGTGTTTATTTCAGCACATTTTGTTGGGAATTATATTGTAATTTGCCTCGATTAGGTAAAATTCGAAAGTTATAGTAAACATTTTGTATTCACCAATAAATAGCATCAATATAATATTATATTAAATATCAAGTGCGCTAAACGACACATTAACAACGCTTAGCGATGTGAAGCTGACCCTGTTTTTCTACTTCCAATCTATTTCTATGTTTAATTTTAGTTTTAAACTTTTTATTTAAAACTTCTAAATTCGCTCAAACACAAATCGTGACTAAAACCCGTGATTAAAGTACTTTAGTCACAACCTTAGTCGTCCGTGATTAAAAAATCAATTTTTGTGTTTCAAAATCGTAGAAAAAGCGGCATGTTAAGATGGAAACAGAAAAATATATTTTTGAACCATAATATAATTTTGTTTTTCATAAATTCTACTTTTTGTAATTATATTAAAAATTGATATTTCTATCCAATCATTGCTTGTTTATTGCTCTTACTAAGCACTCAAAAGTAAACTACATGTAAGAGAACATGTACGTGTTTATCGCGCTGATAGGATGCAGAAGAGCATTGCATATTTAATGGCATGTAGATTACTAATGAATTTATTATTAACTGCCGTTTGAGGCACGCTCTCGGAGCGATTGTGACCCCTCACACAAACATTCCGCGCAGGATTCGTGTCCTTTGTCTTTTTGCCCTTTAGCATTCGCCTGCCCACTCGTCCTCACGCCCACTCGACTACTACTCATTCGAACGCTCAATGTCTACTATGCTGTCTGCAGAATTCAGCTGAATAGCAGAACAGCCGAGGACGCGGATGGCAGGATAACAGGATAACACTTTAGAATACAACTGCATGACAATCTTTTCAACAATTACGCTCAGTTACTATTCTGAAAACGCTCAATGTAATCTTTATAAGTGCATGTCCTTGTTATAGTCCTTGCAATAGTCCTTGAGAATCAAGCTTGAAGCTTTACACTTGCGCGTTGTATTTGTTGATTTTTTGGATTTGCATTTTTATTTTTTGTTTTATTTTGATTTTTATTAGCTATAAACAGTTGTGATACTAAATTGTACTTTTATTGTAATTTGTAGGCTCTATTCGGCGTTGAATTGTTGTTTAAATTGGTGCACTGCGTTTTGGCTGAATTATTAGTTAGTATGGAGGATGCCAGAAGGCACTATGCGAATTTTATGAATCCATTAATTTCAATTTTTGTTTTTAGTTCCAGGTGGATAGCAATGCATATTTATAATGATGTAATATGGAAAACATAAAAAGAGGAAAATGTTTTACATTGGATTTTCTATGTTCGGCACTTGTACCGTAAATCAAACATTACTAACACTAAACGTAACCAAACTAAATCAAGCTAAGTTGGAATTTTGGCACAGAATTCCAGGTGTTTTATGCTTAATTCTTCTACTAAACATTTTGTAAGAGTCATAACCGAATTAATTATTTGTCCAGATAAATAGTTACCGTTTTAAATCTATTTATTAATCAAAAGCAAGCATTGGCCATTGATTATATGTTTGTTGGCTTTATTTGACTATAAATTGTTTAAATCTGTGCACTGGTTTTTGGCTTAAATACAAACAGGCTTACGCGATACCTGAAAGCGTTACAAATATTATGCGTTCATTAATTTCAATTTTTGTTTTTAACTCCATGCGTTCGTCCATGCGCGTACACAATACATATTTATTATGATGCAATATACAAAACTCACAAACAATACAAAATACCTAAAATTTCCAAAAGTCAAACAATGATTAATGAATAACAACAAAATTTATATCAAAAAGTTAAATTATTAAACAAAAAGTTCCTTGTATTAAAGACCGTATAAAATAAATTTTTTACAGACAGTAAATTCTGATTTTTAGTTTATATAAACATACTGTATGAGTGAATCCCATCTACCCTCACCCGTCCAGTTAATTCAGCAAGTTTCTCTATTTGTATATTTGCCTAGACTAGTAAACTAATTAATTTCGCTGGATCCTTTGTGCCCCGTCAACTTTCACATCAGCAAGTTTTCGCTAGCCATAAGGCAGAGAGACTTGCGATTTCAACCGCTTCAGCACACAGGCTGACAAATAAATATGTTAAATTTTACGTCGCATGTACTTTACCAAGACTATAATTGACTCAGTTGAATGTAGTACTACTAGTAACCATACCTAAAACAAAAATAAATACATTGTTAGTTCACTAAAGTAAAGTAAATCAAATACATAATGTTAAGTACATCAATCGTTTTTAAGTCCTTGATTAGGTTTTCGTATTTGCCCGGCGCCTCCACACTACTACGCCAATGCAAAAAAACGAAAACATAAATCTTTTGCTTGTCTATCGGTTGAAAAAAGCTTATTCGTAAAAGAAAAGAAATTGGTGTTGGACTTCGACATCCTGCCTTATTTCTTCCTTATTCCGGTTTCCTGGCGCACACAAATAACACAACAAACTCGTTATTTAAAGACGCACGACGCGTTATTCTTTATTTTCAGCACTTAAATTCAACTCTTAAAACCCTTTTATTCGAAGGGAGGCCTCTTATTTATAGCCACCGGATATCGGCCTGGCTGTACCCATATCAGAGATAATTATCTGCAGCAAGCGCGCGCCGAGTAACGAGCTCCGCTCCCGAGAGCGCATTGGAAACACGTTCGCTTCTAAATTCTTAAATTTCCACTTAAAATTTCCGATCGGATAAT